CGGGGACTAGCCTCTCCGGCCGGGAGCTCACAGGCCGGGCAGAAGGGTCTCATGGGCCACCATAGTGGGTGCCCACCCTGCCCCTAAGAGCCAGAGGGACCTGCCAGGGGGCGAGGTAGGGAGTCCGGGTGGTGCTTATCTGGGGCAGCTCCCAGGAAGCATCCAGCAGATCCCTCTGGCTTCTAGGGGTGGGGTAGCGTAGCTGGGGAGGGGGAAGCAGGGGGTTATCTGCTGCGGTGCGTGGCCCTCCTCGCACCCCCTACCCCAGCTCACCTCTGCTCCATCTCTCTGGGCCTGGGCACAAAGCCGCTGCTTGCTTCTCAGCCCTCCCAGGCTTCCTGCACGAACAGCTGATTCACGGGGAGCGGGGGGGGGGGGGGAGGAGGAGGAGAAGCGAGGAGGAACGTTCAGCAGTGGTGTAGCCAGGTTCTAACATCAGGGGAGCAAACACATAAAAAAGGGTGCCACCCGACATATCAAATTAAACCTCTACCTTGAGGTAACGCGACCCGATATAACACAAATTCGGATATAACGCGGCAAAGCAGTGCTTCGGGGGACGGGGCTGTGCACGCACCCAGTGGGACAGCCCCTCTCATCTCTCCTAAGGGGGCTGCTCTGCAATCTGTGGCCCCTGGAAGCAGGGAGCACACAGGAGCAAGCGGGGGGCACAGTCCCCCGCATGAGAGAGACAATCGGACAGAGGTGGGCAGGGTCTGTTGGGGGTTCGCATGGGGGAGGCGGGGGAGAGGGGGTGGAGGGCTGCACTGGGAGACTCTCCAATGCAGCACCTAGCCAGCTGGCTCTAGGCATCATGAGGCCACTCAGGAAAAGGAGGCAGCAAGAGCGAGAGACAGAGGTGCCCTTCCCCTCCCAGCTGGGTCTGTGAGTCCCTGATCTCGCAGAGTCTCAGCGCTGCAGGCACCCAGCCCCCAGGTACTGGGCTGCAGTGCAAGCTAGAGGGGCTGATACAGAGAAGTCAGGACCAGTCAGAGCACTTCCCATGTCATCATGAAAACTCACTCCTGGAAAGCTGGGTGAGGTAATATGGGGGGGAGGGGAGGTAATATATTTTATTGGACCAGCTTCGGTTGGTGAGAGAGACAAGCTTTTGAACTTTCACAGAACTCTTCTTCAGGAAGAAGAAAGAACTCCGTGAAAGCGCCAAAGCTTGTCTCTCTTTCTCACCAACAAAAGTTGCTCCAATAAAAGATATTACCTCACTCACCTTGTGGCTCTAATTTCCTGGGAACAACAGGGCTACACCAACACAGCATACAAAAAATGCAAGATTCACATGAACAGCACAGAGTGACCACCATCACACCAGGACACTATTTTCAGGATTCATCTTAGCATAACGTCATCATCACACCAAGGAAGTAGCACTATCAGCACAATGAGATAAATATAGCCACATGTGCATGCCAAAAATTCACAGTACAAGCACACTGGGATCCACACAGCAGGAGAGTAGGGTCAGTTTAGCTCTCAGTTTAGTGGGGATACACTCAGGGACTGAGTCCAAAGGTTCAGCTAAACACAAGGGCACCTGCAAATAGCTGTACTAACAGCAGGATCTACACTGGCACAATAGGAGGAGTTGCATGTCAGGGCACTAATTCTCAATCCCAGTGCAAGGCAATATGGGCTCCAGGCACCAGGTCTTTAGTACCAGAATTTGTACTCCCAGGATGGAATTATACACGTTACAGAAGGCAACTCCCAAGAAACAACAAGGCCCCTTGACCAAATGGCTGGGTGAATGTTAAACAACCATCACCAGCCATTGTGCGGCAAGTGAATGACAATTAGCAATTCAGTGTACTGGGCTATCTTGATTATCACTTCAAAAGTTTTTTTTCTCTTAATTAATTGGCCTCTCAGAGTTGGTAAGACAACTCCCACCTGTTTATGCTCTCTCTATGTGTGTATATATATATCTCCTCAATATATGTTCCATTCTATATGCATCCGAAGAAGTGGGCTGTAGTCCACGAAAGCTTATGCTCTAATAAATTTGTTAGTCTCTAAGGTGCCACAAGTACTCCTGTTCTTCTCATCACCAGAGAATTACTCAACCCTAGGACTCAGCAATGCCCCCTCCAACATGATCACTAGCCCTTCCCTTAGGAGACAATTCAGGTTTCCCCTTCCTACCTCCCCCTCAACATGGTGCCTGGACTTGTGTTTGCCAGAGCACATGGACTAAACACATAACAGGAGATAGTTCCAGCCTTCCCTTGGGAGACAATTCCATCCACACCCCCAAGGCAGAAATTGCACTGCTAGGAAGATTTCCCCTGATAGCCTCAGTCAGTTCCCCTCTCCTACCCGCCCCCACCCCTATCCCTTCCCCACTGCCTCTTCCCTTCCACCCCCCACCCCCTAAGAGGCAGTCACCCAGATGCCAGGGAGGGGGACTAAGCGCACGATATGGACATGTCCACTGTCTCTGAGAGGCAGGCATCTCTGCCTAGGCAGGGAGGGCAAGCAGGAGGGGCACCACACCCTGCAGGAGACCAGGAGATGCCCACCATGCCCGTCCTGGTCCAGCTGCCTGGCAGGGGCTGGTACTCTCAGTCTCTCTGTGCTGCGGGGGTGCAGGGGATGTTTTTGGAGATGCCTCTGGCTGAGCCCTCTGCCAGATGCAGAGAGCTGGGTGGCAGCTGGTGCCCCCATGCAGACGGCCACCCTGCCAGCAGCCAGGTGCCGGCTCTCAGCACAGCCACCTGGGACGGGGTTTCAGTCCCCCACCACAAGACCCCCTTTGAAATACACTTACCAGCTGCTACTACTGGCTGCCTTTAGTTGGGTGAGAGGTTAGGAGCTACAGAGCCAGAGAAAGCACGCCTGCCACAAGAAGCAGGTAGGAGAAGGAGGAGGGGCTGCACTGCACAGGTGGGGTCGCTCAGCTGAACCCTGGGCCCTGCTCCAGGAGCAGAGTTCCCCTCGCTGATTGGCTGGTGGCCAAAAACCAGCTAAACAGCACTCCCCTAGCTACCCTACTGCCCCGGCTGAACAGCTGATGGCTCACAGCCCCCACGGGCCCCATAAACAGTTGACTGGTGGGTGGGTGCCCCTGCCCCCTATGGCTGGAGGGGCATGCCCAGGGGTGGCATGTTTGTAGAAATTTTGGTGGTGCCCAGAACCTGCCCCTGCCCAAACTCCACCCCCCACCTGCCCAAGGCTCTGGGAGGGAGTTTGGGGATGGGAGGGGTGCAGAGGGATGGGGTGCAGGGGTGAGGGCTGTGGCTGCAGATGAGGGGTTTGGAGTGTGGGAGGGGCTCAGGGCCAGAGTAGGGATGTAGGGGGTGAGGGCTCTGGCTGGGACTGGGGTTAAGGTGTTTGGGGTGCTGGAGGGGCTCAGGGCTAGGGTTCAGGGTGTGGTGTGGTGGTGAAAGCTTTGACTGGGGGTGTGGGCTCTGGGGTGAGGCAGAGCTGGGGATGAGTTTGGGGTGCAGGCAGACTGCTCCGGGACAGGGGCCAGAGAGGAGGACTCCCCCTAGCCCTTTCCCTGCTGGCAGCAGCAAGCTCTGGGGGAAGAGGAGCCCCCCTTTCCTGCCCCCCCAGCAGCACACTGTCACTGCATGTGCTCCTAGGGCCCCTCTCAGGTCCAGGAATCTCCCTCACCTCCCCCGTGGTGGGTGCCGGGGGGTGCCGCGTGCGCCTCCTCCCCTGCTGTTGCCCCTGACTAGCCTCACTGGGGGTGAGGGATGGGGCTGCCTCCTTGCCCAGCATGGGGCAGGAGCAGTGGCTGTGGGCGGGGGGCCCCCTGTGCTGCTGGAGGGTCCTGCTGGAAAAGGGAAGGGTCTGAGGGGGAAGGGCAGGCTCAGAGTCAGTCTTCCCTGGCAGTGGAGATGGGGGGCACTAGGACCCTGCAGCAGCAGTTGTGCCGGGAGGCAACATGGAACTGCACACGGAACAGCCAGGGACATTGCTCCCAGGGCCGTGAAAGGTGGGGGCAGCAAGTCAGGGCCAGGGGACACTGGGGGAAGGCGTGGGGGGGCCGCAGGTGGGGCCGGGGGGACACACCCGGCCCCAAGTATTGCTGGAGCTGGGCCCCCGCCTCTCCTCCTCCCAGGAGCGGCCAGCTTGCTGGAGCTCAGCTCTTCTCCCATTTGTTTCTATAACAAATCAACCTGCGATTTCGATTAGAAATAAAAGGCTGTTTCCCTGGCAGAGTTTCCAATCAATTGAAACATTACACACACATAGTATTTATAAAAATAAAGTTATACACAGGCACACACATAACACAATCTATATTATAACATTAGGTTTTATAAAAGTTTATTTTTTTAAAATTCTGAATGTTGTGGTTAATCTGACCTTATCAGTGACAGCGACTTCATGCACTATTGAAATGTAATTACCTAGATGCAATCTTTCTGCTTATCTAGAAATACTTTCCGGCCGTGTATGAAATTGAACAGCATACATGTTTTTTAGTTGTCTTGCTAAGTCTCCAGGAAGGTTCTCCTTGTTGCTTCGGCTCCTGGCATTTTTAAATCAGGAAGCTAACTTCAAATGCTTATGGATCGAGGAACACAGGGTTTAAATATTGATGAAAATGAGCAATGTATGGTTTCCCCCCCGGATACGATCATGCAGAGATGAAATGGCAGCATTAAAACACATTCAGTATTTGCTTAAGGCTACTGGCTATTCTGTCCTGGAATATATATTTTATTAAAGGGTAGCAGCTGCCGATCTATACATATTAAATTTTAAATAACACATTGGCATTTGAGATAACTCATGATGTCCTCAAGAAAATGTGATGAGAAAAGGTGTCGAGGAAGATATCTCAGCAGAAGTTTAGCTCACGCCAACTATGCTCGGAACAAGGGATCCCTGGCAGACGGTGCCTGCCCTAGACAGCCTGTGGGTGAGAGTTGCCAAAGAGAAGAGAGAAAAAGCCCAAACTTCCCCCTTTAAAGGAGAGGTTTGAGACTACAGCTTTACTGATCAATGGGCAACCGGGGCCCGCCCCTTTTCTGTTTGGAAGGGGAGACTGACGAGAATAGGATTACTGCAGACAGACAGATGGACACACGAGCCAACGGAGACAGACCCACAGACACAAAGGCAGGCACTCAGCAGACAGGCACATAGGCACGCTGCGGATGATCACCCAAGGAGCCACACAAAGACACTGAGGCGCTCAAGAGGCTCAGATAACACACAGAGAGACAAGCACACACACAGCTAGCTCCCTGCTGGTCAGTTTCACGCTCGCCCCAGACAGCTGTGCTTGCCTCTGTGGTGGGCCTCCCCCTGTCTCCTCCTTCTCAGCAACCTCCAGCTGCGCGAAACTTCCCATCGGCTGCCCTGGAGGATCCCAGAATAGCCACAACAACATCCTCCTCCTTCCTCCCAGTCCAAAGGCGAGCCGGAGAAAGGGGGAGGAAGAAACAAGGCGGGGGAGCAGGGGTGGGCAAAAATGGGAAATGGAAGTTGGAGTTGATTGGTGCTGCTGAGAGGCTGATGATCGCATCTCAGGGTAGGGAGGGGGAGGAGGAGTGGAGCTGGGGGAAAGCTTGCACACCCGCCCGCCCAACCTCAGTTGCCGCTGGTTCTGCTTTGATGCAAAGGAATGAAGAGGGGTTTCCTGAGGGGAGAGCGTGTGGTTGATCCGAGGTGTGTTTGCTGGTGGCTGCAGACCTGCCGCCCTCTTTCCTCCCCATGCGGGCGCTTTCCCCCAGAGGCTCTGAGTCCTGGTTGCTCCTACTGCGGGATGGAGACGCATGCTTTCTGGCTAGTGCAACTTTTCCTTTTCGCGCTGTGGGGTAAGTAGCTGGCTTGCAAGATGATGCTCAGAACATCTCGGGCAAATGGTCAGTAAAAAGCACCTGGAGAAGTTATTAGCACTCCTCATTTACTAGCATGTATGAGTCTCTGCTGTTCTAGGAAGGTGTTTTGTCTTAAATAACTTAAAGCATTTATTATATTACCCCAGCAACAAAAGTGTTTAAGGTACTGGTTTGTGGGTTTCTCTTACAAGATAAAAGGAACAGATTTTTGCCAGGCATCTTTAGCTGAATGTAAATGTGGAAATGTAAACCCTTTCTACAAGTCCTGATTCTGCTGGAGAAGCAGAGCCCTTCCAGAAAGGTGATTTCATAAGGGGTTATTACATGCCAGAGAGAAAACAATCATACACAACCTCCCCCTCCATAATTCCCATCTCACTTAAATTATTCGGTAACAGTCTGAGTAAGGGAATCTGAAAATAAGCTCTTCTCTAAGGCATTAATGAGTTTGTGGCTGTCCTCGAGGAAGATGTGCTGAGTTGTATTTTGTAAGGTTAGTGGCTTTTTAGTGTCAAAGGCATTTTTGTGAGACTATATTAGCTGAAGTCTGATTTTCACCTCATTTGCTGGAGCTGTATATTAAAAATAAAGACTAGGGAAAGGCAACTTGGGTTATAAAAGAATAGATCATCTGTTTGGGAAGAGGATTTTTCTAAGAGCAGAAGGAATCTCTTCCTATGATATCAAGCACCGGGAACAGACCTCTGATAGTGTCCTGGTGAGAAAGGAGAAGCTGTCTCCAGCCCTCTCCTTGTTTCCCCACACACGCCTTATCAATTATGTGTACATTTCACCCAGGGTGTTGATGATGCTGTGACAGGCACGGAACCACCTCCTTTTCAGCCTTGCAGCAGATGGCTGCTGTAAGACGGAGAGAACAAGAGTGAATAAATGTAAAAATAAGATGCCAAATCCTGAAAAGCATTGAGAACTGAATTGGGGTTAGCTTGCATCCGAAGAAGTGGGCTGTAGTCCACGAAAGCTTATGCTTTAATAAATTTGTTAGTCTCTAAGGTGCCACAAGTACTCCTGTTCTTTTTACACAGGAACTGTATGGCTTTCCCCCCCTTTCTTCTTGCAGTGATATTAACTAAGGTAGCACATTTTTCTGTAAAATAGTTCAAAATAATCGTCTTTGATATGGTAGCTGGCTGTGTATAGATTTGGCCAATTCCCGAAGTCCTCACTCAGGTACAGTGGTCATTTTCCTTGAATGAGAGCTGCAAGATTGGTAACTTAGGTTTTGACCACCAGCCCAACATCCCGTAAGCCAATTTTGCCAGGAGATGAGTCAAGACACACATTACTATAGACGCTCACTTTCCAGGAAGAATGAATTGACTAACTTCTGAATTATATTCATCCTTTTCACACCAGCTTTAGTGCGGGCTCCCTCCCCTCCCTTTGGGAAGCAGGGAATTTTCCTGGTCCGGAGGCTGGATGATTCTATTTAGGATTTGCTCAAACAGTTACTTGTAACTGTGCAGATACCTTTCAGATTTTTCACATTCTTTAACTTCAGTTTATACTATGTTGTTAATCATTGATATTTCATTTTTCCCCCTTGTAGCTGTCTTTAGGAATTCAGGATTTAAAACCTTATAGTCACATCCAAAGTTACCGTCAGAATCTTATTCTGATCTTATTTACACCAGTCTAACTCGGGTGATGACAGTGGAGTTACTCTTGATTTACACAGATGTAAGTGAGAGGAGAATCAGGTCCAGAGTATTTAGAAGGGTATTCCATGTACTTTATAGAAGATAAAAACTTGAGACCAGAAGTTAGAGATCTTTACATGAAAAGGCCTATAAATAAAAGGAACATCTGGTTCTGACACTTTTCAGAAACGATGGGCCTCTAGTAACATTTTTTGCTTTAAAAAAAAGTAAAATGTCCATTTTGGTGGATTTTTCTCGCAACATTGTTTGAAACCTACCTTATGCAGTCAAATGTTTTGTACATTTCCATTTAAAATGTATTTCAGAATACAAACTTTCCTGACACCTAATGGTTGATTTCTTTACTGCTGAACATAGGGAAATAATCAGTAAATTTTGAGTAGGAGAAACTTCCAGTGTTAGATTTTGCCATGACTCTCACAAGTGAAACATGTTTACTAAGGATTTATTCCCAGAGAATGAACGGACTGAGGACTACTCTTCCTGTACCTCCAACAATTACACACAGTTCTCACCAGAGACACTAACAGGTCAGTCCCAGACTAGAGTTTCTTGCCTAGGCCAGTTGCTCACCTAACTGAAATCTACTGAAGAACTGATTTTCATGGTGGTCTACAACTGACAATGGATTGCTTTTGATGAAAAGCGAAGGGATAGATTTTGCATGAACAACAAAGATGTAAATGGAATCAAACTAATTCCCTGATTTAAAACCAACTTTTTATGATTACTAAAAAATTCACAATGTGGAATCTGACTATTATAAATAATACTCAATAACTGTAGTAAGTGTAAGCCAACTACAGTTTGTGCTGATTCTTCTGATGGCAAATAATACAAACATGATTCCTGCATCAGTGATTCCCCAGGGATATTGACTATAATTGAACACTTTGAACCATCATTGTTCCTGCTTGTTTTTATTTCCGTAAGATCCAGTTTAAACACTGACCCTTGTGCCTTTTCTCTTTCGGTCAAATGTTGTTATGGTTGATCAGTCAATGCTCCCGTTGAATTACTCAAAGTATATATTTTGAGAGCCTGTTCTGCACATCTATTTATCTTAGGTAATTTACATGGCACCCATTACCATAGTATATGAGTGCCTCACAGTCATTAATGTATTTTCATCACAACATTCCTGTTAGGTAGGGAAATGCTATTATCCCCATTTTTTTACAGATGGGGAACAGAGAAGCTAAGTGACTTGCCCCATGTCACACAGGGAGTCAGTGGTGGAGCAGGGATTTGCATGGACAGCCATTTAAGAGTCCAGTAGCATATTTTACAAGAGTAATTGTTCTGGCATCCTTTTTCAAACATTCCCCCCTCCATCCTGTAAAGATGGTTGCTTATTAGTAGTGCTGTGTCTGTAGGTAAGGATGAAAGATGCTATATAAGTGTAAGAAGTTATCATTTATATTGAAACTTCATATTTTTTAATTGTACAAGCATCTGTCTCAGCAAAACATGTTAAAGTAGAAATGTGATAACTATCATGATCTTTAGCACTTTTAATGCCCAGATCTCAAAACATTCTACAAAGTTGTAAAGTATCATTACCACTGTATTTTACAGCTGGGGAACTGTAGACCAGAGAAGCGAAGTATTTTGCCAGAGTTGCCCAGCAAATCAATGTCAGATCTGGAAACTGAATATGGCTCCAGGCTCCCACTCTTGTATCTTATGCTCTGGACTACACCTCCACACTGCTAATTATCACTAGAGCTGTATAAGAAGGACCCAATCCTGGAAGGTACTTGCGTGCCTTTTGTAAATACAGAATGCCCTCAAGTTCAACTCCATGTAAGATTGGATTCTAGTGAGAAAGAGAAACGCATGAATGATTTAAAAAAAATTGATTAAATTTGAAAAAAACTTCCCTATCATCTTAGTGATGAATCTAGTCCACTGTTTTGTGGCTGAAAGGGTTGGGATGAAGGGAGTGAAAATCAGCGTGGGAACGACATTGAATACAATAGATCAAGGTGTCAGTCAGTCAGACATAAGTACGAGTCTGTGTGTACTCTTAAAATGAGAACATCTCATTTTGAAACAGACCAGACCAGCTTAGCAATACACTACTCTGCTGTTTGAAAACATGCAGGATCCCTAACAAACGAGAGCAGCGCCTTGGCAATCAACAGGAAATATAATCAACGAACTCTATTGCTATCACTTTTGAAGCAAAGCAGACAAATTCTGATGCAGCCTGTGCTTCCAAGTTGCTGTTAGATCCTGGCACAACTCCACCATACTTCACCGTTTCCATCTTCCTTTCGCCTCCTCTTCCTCTCCCCCCGTAACCTGAAGATTTCTAAGGTCTGCCCAGACCCCAGTGTACAGACTCATACTCGGTACAGTTAAGGTGACTGGAAAAAATGTACTGTGTTCATAAGAGAGAGATCTTCTGAAATGTACATGGATGTGCTGTGGGTGGCAGCAGAGAGCATCAAATATTCAAGCAAAACCAGGCTGGTCCCAGAAGTCAAGAAGAATGACATTTACAAGATTAGAGGTACATTCCAGATTAAAGATAGGAGATAGACGGACACACACAAATTGGCAGACTGATTCTGATCCCATTCCACTGATGCAATTCCACTTAATTCAGTGGAGTTACTCCTGATTTACACCCGTTTAAGTGAGAGTAGCACTTGGCTCTGACTTCTTTTTTTTTTTATACATGGGAATGAAATCGTCTCGTAGTGTGTGAATTAAAAAAAAAAGTATGTTGTGTATATATACAAACACATACACACAACTTTATAAGGATATTATTGTGGACGAGTTCCTGGTGTAGGACAGCATGTCCTCAGTAAAAAGTGCACTAGGTGTGGTGGTTCTGCTTTTTAAGCCATATTTCTTTATTGTGCTGTCAAATTGTTATTTGTTTGAGACGCTGTTTTTCCACCACCTCAGTGTTGATTACAGAGCTTATTCACTGTTGCCCTAATTGCAAGCAAATGAAATTCCACCTACTTCCACCAAAAAAAGGAAAAAAAAAAAAAGAAATTGCGCAAAGGGGTCAATGAAAAATTTCACTTGCCAAATACCATTTGTCATCAACTTGTGGCTTTGTTTACTTCTCACATCTCTCTCTCATAGCAAACTACCTTCCCCCATAGTGGTTGTCCACATACACATTTCCACTGTAATAATGACACCAATCTTAATTCACACCTTTGGTGGAAGTCTGTGTGTGGACACTTTCTGATTTAAAAATAAGAGTCCTATTTCAATAAAAAACAAAATTGAAATAGGACACTTATTCCAAAATACAATTTAATTTTGAAATAAGAGTGTCCATACAGACTTGCACTGAAATAAAAAGGTTGTTATTTTGGCGCAAATTTATATGTAGGCCAGCCCTAAGAATGCTATGTGACTAGCCCCAGAAAAGAGGTGGGAATGAGGCAGAGATCTTGATTTTAGTATAGCTTTTGACATACTCATCACATTCTCATAAATAAACTAGGAAAATATGGTCTAGATGAAATTAATAAAAGGTGGTTGCAAATCTGGTTGAAAGGCCATATTCAAAGTGTAGTTATCAATGGATCACTGTCAAACTGAGGGATGAATCTAGCGGGGTCCTGTAGGGGTCTGTCCGGGGTCTGATGATCTTCAATATTTTCATTAATGACTTGGATAATGGAATGGAGAGTATGCTTATAAAATTTACACACGATACCAAGCTGGGAGGAATTGCAGGCACTTTGGAGGACAGGATTAGAATTCAAAATGACCTTGACAAGTTGGAGAATTGATCTGAAATCAACAAGATGAAATTCAATAAAGACAAGTGCAAAGTACCACACTTTGGAAGGAAAAATCAAATGCACAACTACAAATGGGGGATAGTTGGTAGTACTGTTGGAAAGGCTCTGGGGTTATAGTGAACCCCACACTGAGTATGAGTCAACAATGTGATGCAATTGTGAAAAAGACTTATATCATTCTGAGGTGTATTAACAGGAATGTTGTATGTCAGACACGGGAGGTAATTGTCTCTCTCTACTCAGCACTGGTCAAGCCTCAGCTGGAGTACTGTGTCCAGTTCGAGCACCACAATTTAGGAAGTATGTGGATAAATTGGAGAGAGTCCAGAGGAGAGCAACAAAAATGATAAAAGGTTCAGAAAACCTGATCTATGAGGAAAGGTTGAAAAATCTGGGCATGTTTAATCTTGAGAAAAGAAGACTGAAGGTATGTCTACACTGCAATTAGATACCCATAGCTGGCCTATGCCAGTTGGCTCGGGTCTGTGACTGTTTCATTGCAGTGTAGATTTGCAGGCTTGGGCTGGAGCCTGAGATCTGTGATCCTCTCATCTCACAGTGTCCTAGAGCCTGACTCCAGCCCAAGTCTGCAAATCTACACTGCAATTAAGCTGCCCTTCAGCCTGAGCCCTGTTAGCCCACGTCAGCAGGCATGGACCAACTGCAGGCTTTTAATTGCAGTGTAAATATACGCTAAGGGAAACCTGATAACAGTTTTCAAATATGTTACGTGCTGTCAGGAGCGGCGCCAGGGTTTTTGCTGCCGTAGGCGGCAGTGCTCCTCCTCTGAGCATTTGGTGGCGGGGGTCCTTCTGCTCCGCGTCTTCGGGGCACTTCGGCGGCGGGTCCCGGAGCGAGTGAAGGACCTGCCGCCGAATTTCTGCTGAAGACCCGGAGCGGAAGGACACCCCGCCGCCGAATTTCCGCTGAGGGCAGCAAAATGCCACCCCCCAAATCCTGCTGCCCTAGGCGACCACCTAGGGTCGCCTAGTGGAAGCGCCGGCCCTGCATGCTGTTACAAAGAGAATAGTGATCAGTTGTTCTCTATGTCCATTGAAGGTAGGACAAGAAGTAATTGGCTTAACGTGCAGCAAGGGAGATTTAGGTTAGATATTAGGAAAAACTTTCTAACTACAAGGGTAGTTAAGCTCTGGAATAGACTTCTAAGGAAAGCTGTGGGATTCCCATCACTGGAGGTTGTTAAGAGCAGGTTGGACAAACACCTCTCAGGGATGGTCTTAAGTATACTTGGTCCTGCCTCAGCACAGGGGGCTGGACTAGAAGACCTCTTAAGGTCCCTTCCAGCCCTACATTTCTCTGAGTCAATAGGAAATGTTAATGTGAGCCAACAAAAGGTTTCCTAAAACTTTACAGGACTGCTCTAAGATAATATCTTGACTTAATGTCTTCTCTGAAACTAATCCAGAAAGTACTGGGGAGAAGATTGTTCTTCACTGAAGTGAATGTCAAAAGTGTGTGAGCTATTCCAAATAGTTCAATGGCTAGAAAGGAAGACAGCCTCTGTCTTGAGAACAGCATGACCTTATTTCATTGGTGTCACTTAGTAATGGCCTTCATTTCTGATGGGAATTCAGAGCTATGTTTGCCAAATGCTCTGTTTTTTTTGTGTGCATCCTCTTGTCTGTTGAGGACTACATGTTTAAGGATCTATCCTTTTATTTTCTGTATTTTCTCTACGTTATCTTAAAGTAAAGGGTATTGTGTTCTCAGTGTGTTGCCCACCTGTT